GGGGGGGGGGGGGGGGGGGGGGGGGGGGGGGGGGGGGGGGGTACATCGTGCATTAGAGAGTTACATACATATGTTGTTGAAGATTGTATTGTTGTATGTTTTACGCAGCGTGGGTGTTGTTGTTGGCTTTGTATTACAGGTTTGGCATAGGTGTGGTTGTGTGCAAAATATCGTGCGGTGCTGCCGTAAAAACCTGCTTTTTTTCCGGTCGAGTTGAGACATACTTGTTCGAGTTAGTGCACGTGCATGTTGGCGTCGTGAGCTTTTAATGTATGTTTCACATCATCACACCCAGTGGGTACAACTCAGGTACGTCATGGGCTGGTAGGCAGCGCCAGTGTGGCTCCTGCCAACTACACCGCTTTCGCACACGTCTCTACGGTCCCCAGACCCCTCATTTTCCTAAATAAATGGTGTGCCCCTGCACCCAGGTTCTTCTGAGGCCAGAACGAAATTCTGGATTTTCCGCGCGGTTTTTTCGAATCAGAACCTGAAATTTTGAGACGGCATCTGCATGAGTACAACTAAAAAAAAGCCACTGCACCATTTGGATTTTTTTCTAGTCACTTTTGTCCCAAAACAAGTATTCCCATACTTACAACAATAGGGGTAACTCATGAAAAAATCCAAATGGCGCAGTGGCTTTTATTTTTGTTGTACTCATGCAGATGACGTCTCAAAATTTCAGGTTCTGATTCGAAAAAACCGCTCCAACCGTGAAATACGCGTCTTAGCTGGACCAGTTTGTATCTGTTGCTTGTGCCGAGAGAGACGAGCGGAATCTAAAGAAAGAATCCAAGGATAAGGCGGGTCTAGAAGTGTACGGAATGTTGAAGGAAGGAATAAGGTTCAAGGACTACCTACATGGACCAATGGATGCAGGAACAAAGCTTAAGGTCAAATTCAGGACTGGGGACATAGGCCTTCGAGAACGTCGACGAAGACATAGGACGGTAGGCGACGAAGACGGCGAGTTCAAATGTGATTGCGGCTTCGAATGCGAAGACCGCGTTCATGTAGTCGCAGAATGTCCCTTGTACAAGAAGGAGAGGGAAGTGTACGTGACTGAGCTGGGAAAAATAGATGGGACGTACAGGGAGATGTTTGAGGCATGGAATAGAGAGGAAAGGTAGCTGTAGTGGGGCATAGGAGGTGGGTTGAAAAGGCGGGAAGGGATATCGTTAGGATAGACAGACTAGGGAAGACATTTTTGAGCCACCTTTGGCAAAGTAGAAAGGAACGATTGGCCATCGGTGATCGGTCCTGTGGGAACAATGCTCCGTCCTCTCGAGGACGCGTGGTCAATGGTCTAACCGCTAAGGCATGCAAAACATAAGAAAACGCCCACCCCCCCCTAACAACAGCATGTTGCCCCCGAGAAAAAATTAGCTGGCGTGGGAGGAGATTGATCACCCCCGGACTCAAGTACACCATAGCGTAGCGTAGCCGTCAAGCTTGCACTCACTCGTGATGAGGGAGTTCACGGTTCACATTGCCTTCTCGCGAGTAGAGGGTGTTTGTCACCTGTTTCACCCGTTCTCCCCTCGATGATGTAGCTGGCTGCAAGAGCAATTTGCTTTCGAAAGACATTATCTACCCTTGAAACTTTACCAATCAAGTCCGAGGCGAAACATATTTACTTGCACACCCTTTCACATCCGTGACTTCAATGAGTTCTGGCCCTACCCAGACACGTATTTTCAAGATTGCCCTGCTGCATCCGACACCAACATACTCACATATTAGGTGTCGATGTAAAGCATCTATGCTCTACATGTAGCTGGATCCAAAATTCATCATGTAGGCAACACACCACGATCTACTCGCAACTCATGGAGACGAAGGGCGATGTGGAAGACCGAACATACCCGTGACACTCTGTCATCGAACCAAAATAGAGAACGAATTTCTAAGGGTGGACAAGTCACAGAGTCGAGGAAGAGTACAGTGATCTAGCGTGCGCCCCGGTCTTATCTCTGGCCAGCCGTCTTTGCGTGATGTTGCCGACCCGGATGTGCCTCTCATCCTCGTATCTGTCGTCGTTCGAAAGCAGAGATAGAAATCATCACCATCATAATGCAAAGTCGGAATGAAAAAACTCGCACGCGATACACGCAAAACACCTGTCTTCATCGTCGATCGGTATGCGAAAGTGATGTCGACCTCGGCTAAGCATAATGGGTAAGAAACCGGGGTCGCGTAGTTGCCATCAAACGCTTTTGGCCAGTATCCTGGTGTAAGGGCTCCCGATTGCGTCCAGGGCAGTCCCATGTCATGCGAGCGGCTACGTGATGTTATTATTATGTACATGGCCGACGATTATGTTGCGAACAGTCTATTCGTGAGGCTCGACAAAATAGCACCCGAACACGAGTCGAGAAAATGCAATTCACGACCGATCACGTCCCCCGTGAGGAAACTTTTCGTGGAACCTTGAGTGGACAATATATCGTCTCAAGTATCTTGCCTCCTCAGTCGTTGGCGCCAATCATGGACGTCTTCGTGTGGGTGTGGCAGCAGACCCGCCTCGCTCACCACCCGGAACAAGTGGTAGTACGCCAGATTGCCGATCTGGGAACACAAATCGTAATACATGAAGCAGAACTGATTGTAATGGCAGCAGACATGAAGAGAAATGATTGTGCGAAAGAGATGTCATCGACTGGGTTCAGTCCGCAGAAGACGAGATGGCGGAAGTTTCGAAAAGCGTTCATCGCATATGAACAACTAGTATCAGCGAGTGAAGTTTCGCGGGGATGCTCACAGTACAATTGGCAATGCCGACTATCCCCGAACCCAACCGAATGTAGAACGCACAGCCCTACCCGTGGCACCGATCTGCAAGCAGCATGTTACCTACCTGCAGCTGGTGTTGGCTGCGCATGGTACCCATGAAGGTTGCGAGGTTGTACGGCGTCCAGTTGGAGGCGGCCACCTCCGCTGTCTCCAGCGCCTTCTCCGTGGTTAGTCGTTCCTCCTCACTCACAGTCCACCTGTGTCACGTGAAGCGTGATAAGGGGGGCGGAGTGAAATTAGAAACAGAACGACGTGATGCTAATGCACGGAAAAGAAAAACAGGGACGTTCACGGTGTGGAACCGCACCGTGGTACGGTTTTTTGTATCTTGACATGGTCATGGTGCGGTGCGGTCGGTGCGGTTTTATCATATCACGGGTCGTTGCGGTGCGGTCTTTACCATCTCCAAATTCGACGGTGCAGTGCGTTTTTTTTCATCTCGAACTTTGACGGTGCGGTGCGGTGCGGTGTGGTGTGGTGTGGTGCGGTGCGGTGCGGTGCGGTTCACCGTCGCACAGTTTTTTTTCGGTGCGGTTTTTTCTACCCCATGACAAGAACCGCGCGAACCGCGGCCTTGGCGGCGGTGCACCGTCGAAGCACACCGCGGAGAATACTACGGTTGTCCGTGACAAAATGACAGGGCCTCCATGATCTTTTTTTTTTTTCGTGGTATACGTTAGGTTAAGTCCTTTGAAATGAGGCCGACACGACAAATCCCACGAGTTGCGGTCAGAAAACCCGAAAACCCCAGACGAAGGAGAAGCTACTGATCGTTTACTTAATTTTCGCAGTCGCCATGCGTTCCTACAACACGAGCTACATTCCTCACTTGCTTCTACTACTACTATTGTTGTTGGAATATATATGAATATGCGAATATGCTAGAAAAAATGAAAAAAAAAAATCTGGCAGCACCACCAGGCAGGCGGCTCATGCCCGCCACGGGCTACAACCCGCGAGTGCGTTGACGGCGGTGCGTTGCACGCTGCGAACTGTCTTCGGGGTGCCCCCAGTTTGCGCGGCATCAGCAGCACCAGCAGCAGCGGTAGGACGCGTGGCGACCACCTGTGCGAGAGGCTGGTCGCCATCGCCGGGGGATGACTCCATCAGAGATGGGCGGAGTTGTGTACGGAGCGTATCGCAATGGCGGTGTGTGTGTGGTTTTTTGTCGTACCACGATGCGGTGCGGTGCGTTTTTTTTTGTCTTGAAATGTCCACGGTGCGGTGCGCACCGCACCGCACCGTCGAGAAAAACAGCACCGTGAACATCCCTGAAAAAAACGAGAGTGTGGGACTCTCTCTCCTGCTTCTCATTGTTTTACGGCGTTAGCGTCAACGTACTGCATTGCGAGGAGAGTTTCTCACCCAGGTATGTGCTTCTCGCCCGGTGCGTAGCGGATCAACGCGTCACCACCCGAGGTCCCCTGGCACAGCCACTGCCAGCCCCCCTTGATACTGTCCATTTCTCGCCTCGCCTGCGTTGCCAGAGCTTCACCATATCAAGTTTATGTCAACTCTGGCCGACTCTGGCCGACCCAACACACATGAACAACGTCAGTTCGATGGTTCAATGCATCGCTATTTTTTTGCTATGGGTTCTTGGTAAGGTCGTCCCCGTTGTCGGCTGTAGAAGGGTTGGCTCGGGGTTGGCAACAGGGTTTCGCACGTGATGGCGATGTGCTGAACCTAACGGCAAAGGATGGAAACAGTCCAGGTGAACTGAGGGACGAATATGCACGGCGTATGATACGGGAGTTAATACCAATTCTGTAGATGAAACAGAGACACCGCCAAGACTCTACATTTTCTACTCACGACTGTGTTCAACAGAACTTCTAGGCTGTCGGTTTTGGATTCGTGGTATCCTCGCACCCACCTGTGGCTCTTCGTTGATCAACGTCTGAAGCATCTCGGCGCCCTTGACTTGCACCAAGTCATTCCCAACCAGCCTCTGCATCGCTTCGAACACTACACGAAACCCACGCGCCTGGGACGGGCAACAACGATGCAAGTACAACAAACGCCGCCTGGTTGACAGTATGTCACACGTACAGAAAAAAATGCTCCCGCCGCCGCTCGACCGGGCGCGCGGTTGTCGGGTGTGCTCCGCACATGGCCACAGTTTCCCAACGATTCGAAACCGATCGCGTCCACGGTGGCAACCCCTGTAGGAGTGATACCGAGAAGCATGTCTTGATGCTCTGAACCGCATGACTTGGGGGGCTAATACCGAGCATCAAGCCTCGAAATGCTAACACCAAAAAGAAGCGTGAGGCCCTCGAGGGAGGTGAGCCCTCTAGGGCGAACACGTGAGGTAAGTCCTCAAGGAGGTGGCCCCCGAATTCACTACGTTCCGTACAGCCTCGAGGTTCAACGATTGGACGTTCAGGAAATCACCTGCCGAACGTTGTGGATTACAAACTGCCAACCTGTTCGCCCATGTCGCCAGGTGTTCGCATGCACGACACGGAGGCGCACTACAGTAATACAGCACACGAGTGTGCTGGCGAGAGCTGCACCATAGTTCATTACCTTCAGAATCCGACCGCGCCCTTCCGGCGAGACGCTCAAGAGAAGTAGCAGACCGGTGGCGGCGGTTAGGACACCGCTGTGGCACCTGCCGTTTTCGGTATCGGGCATGCGAACGCAGCGAAGAGGGAGTTGCATTGTTTCTTGATACTGTTTCCCGGAGGTGGTCGGTCAGATCCAAACCTCACGTTCCTTGGGGAGGGTAGTCGACGCTATCCGTAAACCTAGGACGGTACCGCGCGGGTTTCTTCTCTGAGCACAAAGAATGCACGATGGCATCCTAAAGCCCGTGCCAACCCCCGAAACCTGTTGTTTCTACATCCGCGAGTGCCTATGACGCATTGGTGCTGCGGTATCCGGTCTCCGGCTTGGACACACCTGAAGCAGCGGATGGTCGAAATAGCAATCTCCACGTAGCCCCCCCTTTCCAGCCGCCGCCGCCCGCGCTCGACGCGACCAAGGTGTTCCATAACTCTCAGACACATCTCCGCCAACCGAGCGTAACTGTCGCTGCAATCCTCTTCACTTCGGTCCCACCTAGACCCCGCTCCTTGCTTCACTCTTGAAATGAGATGCTGCAGCGTGGTGGACATGGCGGCCACGCCCCCCGCCTTGAGGACGAGACGCTGGCACTCGGGGGTGTCCTGCATGGCAACCGAAAGGACGAAGACTAGATCCGTCGTCGGAAGTTTCAGTGGAGACCCGGACGGACTTTTCCGCGTTGAAGCTGCTGACGACATGACCCGATCTCGACGTTGTCTCTCCGGGCTAGCATCTTCTTCTTCTTCACCATCCAACCTCGTGTTGCTTGACAGGCATGGCAGTAGTTTGGCCATCGTTGACGGTGCCGGGACTGCTAAAGACGAGCCATGGCCATCACCTGCTGTCGATCCTGTTTCAGGTCCACCAAGGCCAGGCGGCTTCACCGCCGATGTGCCGTTGCTGTCGAACTTTTCAGCAGACGCTTCCATGGTCGATGTCGCATTTCCCAGAGTTTTTCTTCTGCCGGCGCTTCCCTTCCTCCGATCGTAACCCGGATCATCTCCTACCTCTCTTCCATGCGAAGCTTGACCTGTCGACAGGAAGCTTGCTGTGGATGTGTTCGCTGTGCCGCCGTTGTCGTCGATGGCACACGTGGCAGGGAGAGCCGCTGACGGTGTCATTCTGGCGGCGCAAGCAGCGGCTACGGCAGGGTTCCCTCTGATAGCCGCAGCGGCTGTGACCTCGCTCGCGAATACCCACAGGAGCCGGACCGCCAGGGGCTCGATCGTCTTGTGGCCGGCGTGCTCCTCCAGACAGCCAAGCACGGCGGGAACCGCCCCGAGTCTTACGCACAGAGCAGCACCGCTCTCTCCTATGCCAGGGCTGCTGCCCTTTGTCGAGGAGGGCGTGGTCGGGTGGCCGCGCTGTGCGCGCCGAAGAGAACCATCTTCACTGCCGCTGTCGTTGCGTCCGGCGCCGGAGTAGAGCTTGGTAGACCTTCCGCCAAGCTTCGCAGCAGAGTATTGTGAAGACTCACCGGTGCGGTTTGTTTCGTCTCCACCTTCACTTCTGCGGCCCGCTTGGCTGACATCGTGGAGGCTATTAGGAGTTCCGACTGATCCCTCCCGTCCTAACCGTTCCGTTGCCACCGACAAGAGCCCTTCGAGGGAGCTGATCACAACGAACGCATTAACCCGCGCTTCCGATAGCGCCAGCTCCACTACGCTCCGCACGTGCTCCCTCCCCACACGAGTCAACGCTGAGGGAGGCGTATGGACATCTTCTTGACCGGAAGAAAAGGCAGGGGCACGTGCTGAAGCGGGAGTGGAGGTAGTGTTGGAAGGGGAAAATGCAGCAGAAGAAGCATCCCGGTGGTCTGATTCAATGTTTATGGCGGTCTCATGTCGAAGCCGCTTCAACCACTTTTGTCGCACGAACGGCCTCTCCCGCATCGGCTGGTGGACCCCTCCAGAGGATGTGCTGCCTCTGCTACTACCACAAACAACATTACCGAGTGGGTAGGATGGTGAAACAGCGTTCCCCATCCTTTCCCACTGAGCTCGAACGTTTTCCGCCACCGGGCGCCTTGCGCCGTCTAGCTTTTCGGCTGAGATGCGCTGGTGTTCGGCTTCCCGCTGCCGTACACGAGCGTCGAAGTCGAGGCAATGTGTGGTAAAAGCCGTTCTGCGATCCAACAGCAATTCACAGTTGAGAAGAGATCAGAGTTAGGCCAGAACAAACAGCCAGGTGCAGAGGTGTTGACTTTTGTAGTAGCTGCACCAACGAAACGTGAAACCAAGGGCACGCACCACCGACCCTGGTTGCACGAGCCGCCCGCTCCTGTATGTGGATGACTGTAGCTCGGACGGTGGGGATGTCAAGCATGACTTGCTCACCCTCATCACCTCCTTGGGACCCATTCTCACTTGTTCCCACAGCAGGTCCAGTATCCGGTCCACTGCAGTTGTTTAGAGATGGCATACTCTGCCGGTATCCAACGTCCCGAATGCTTCAGGGGGTCGCCTGCCACGGAAAACTTCGTTCGCGAGAGATGTCCAGCAACCTCGCCCCTGGTCACCCGCCGAGCAAGAGGTTGATTGCGGCTCAACGCAATGAGACTACAATAATCGGTAGGTTTTAGTCTGTTAGATGAACAGGGCACCGTTAAGAAAAAATAAGGGATGTGGCAGTGGTCATTCCGAAGGTCAGGTGTGCTTGTGCTGCAGCTATGTAGCTGACTGCAGTCTCTCCCGGTGATGTTTTGAACCATCCTTTCGGACCTACTTGCGGCCGATGCTAAAGAAGGAATCAACCTGTGGGTGTTGCTATGAAGTTATTTGGAGTATCAAACCCTGGTACGAGGCTTGTCGTTTGTCTGGCAACTATGTACTGCTATTGCAGCCCATACCGTGTGAATTTTACCTTCCCCGCTTGTCTCCGTCGTCCGTCGTATCCTCTGGCGCCGACCTTTCGTTGTCATCATCGGCGGGAATCAGAGCAACGACAACACCGGCCGCTTCCCCCTTCCCGCGCGAGATGTCCGTTGTCACAGTCGGGGCGGGGGGATCTCCGGCTGGGCGTGGTCTTCGGGGCGACCTCTTGAGAGGCGCACTGCTTTTGTAGTCGTTGTGGTTTTGCTCGTCCCCCAACGGGGGGGGTTCTGCAGGACGAGGTCTTCGGCACGTCCGCCGAGACATGTTTGACGCCCCGTTCCTTGTTGCTATGGGAGCACCCACTCCGCAGAAGACGATAGAGCGGTCTCGAGTACATCGAGCGGGGAGAGAAAGAGAGAGAAAAGGCACGGCGGTCCGGCGGTGAGGTGCGAGCAGGAGAACCGCGGCGTAACTGGTGCCGGTTCACACCATCATTATTGTTCGTTGTTTGATGAGCTGATAAGTTGATGGTTGCGCCGCGTGTATTCATTGTGCGGTAGGTGGTCTGTGCGCCTGTTGTGTGGGGGCGTAGGGCGTATACATTCTGACCGAGCGGATGGGCCGTCATGAAGAAGCTACTCACGAAAATCGGCGGCCCTGCAGGCAGCAACGGCAATCAAGATGAACGTGGGCAGGAGGATGCAGCGGCTCCAACGCGGTCGGTTGGAGTTGCAGCGCCCTCGAAGAGACCCTTCTCGATGAGGGGGTTTTCGTCGAAAGCTGCCCCCCCGTCATCATCTTCTCCCGAGGTAATTGCTAGGGTAAGACTAACAAGGACATGTGTCATGCTTCTGAAAACTGACATATATCATGCTTCTGAAAACTGTACCAAACCTTTCGGGAGACATCGTCGATGCTGGGCGCTTTGAAAACAAACCTCTGCCTCCGCGCACGGATTCATCACGTTGAGCCGCGAAGGCTCTGGAAGGTGCGCGCACATGCAGGTGTAGCCGCGTTTCCTGATCCTAAATATCGCCAGGACCGATTTATGAGTACCGCACCGTGCACTCAGTTGTCATCAAGACGTCGTTTGTCGGCGTGTTGTTCTGTGTCTCATGGTCCCTCGCACGATGCATGTACTGAAGGTGTACGTGCAGATCAAACCATGTTCTTCCACGCTAAAAACAAATCATCAACTTATTGCTGCGCGTGCTGACATGTGGTTGCCGCCATGATATCTCTATCGGGCGTTCATTTAAAAAACCAATCTTACAAATCGTGTGGGGCACGTGTTCCCGTGCGAAGATTGGACGAGGCCAGTGCGCAGAAGACATGCACGTACATCGTCGAGAGCGTCCCGCGTTTTCTAGGCTGTTTTTCCGCTATGGTAGTCTACTTGCCTCCTTCCTTCGTCGGGAACATAGTCCCACACACGCACACGCGGTTCCTCATCCCGCCCCCCTCACACGGCATCACCGCAACGTTCCTCTCCCTGGAAAGTCCTACCCACCACTCCCCTCTCTCTCGTGTGGATTGCCGTCGGACCGGTGTTGGCATGTCAACCCGCCCGAGACTGACCTCCCGCGTGCCTCGATAGAAATTCTTTTCGCGGAAAGGCGAAGTCACACGGGTCTAGAGTATATAAGATAGCAAGTGAAGTGTAGACACACCAACATGGATGGAAATGTTGCCTGCCGCACCACACCAAAACACAGTAATAGTCTGCATTCCGTAGGCAACCGCGTTAACCCCGCACCAAATCGTGTAGCCGGTTGAAACTTTCCATGTCACGTCAGAAGTAGCACTGGTGAATATAGCGGCCAGTACCTGGGCACTTCACATTATCACCGTGTAGCCATTTCGGTCATAGGCTCATTTTAACTGTCCGGTATAGCACCGTCAAGTCGAACTTTACCGGGCTTGCTCAAGGTGGGAGCTTCGGCCGTTTGTCGAGCGTGCGTACAAAAAAAATGTTCACCGCCATCATTCACCGGTACCAGAAGAACGTGTAACGAAATGTCACAACACACGCAAGCGCACACACCTTGCTGTAGAGATGGTTGTATATTATCTACGCGATGAAGCGCCAAACTAAACCTAACCTCCCACCCCTACGCCAAACGACACACTACTATAGGGTGACGGTGAAATATTTACGCGTACGACGAAGAACCCCATGGCAACCCCTCCTCCCGGACGGCAACGACGGGAAGACCAACCCCAGCATACACCACCCCTTGGCAGAGACAACAGCTGCAACACCTCCCTGTCGCAACCCAGTGCCACCCCGCTTTCGCCAGCCCCAAAGACGCCTGATAGACGCTCTGTTCCGGCTGCGGGCACTCGGCGAAAAAGAGTCTCGATGAGCTTGAGCCCAAGCTCCATCCGTGCGGTTTTCAAGTCAGCTGGTCAACGCGCGGGAGGTGTATCTGAACTGGAGCGACCGGCGAGGTCGGAAGAAATCGAATCGGCTGTCGCTACAGCTGATGGTGAGGAGGGCCTCGTTTCGGTAGGTTTGCCAACAGGATCGTCGCGGGAAAACCGGTCGCCGGCGACGCGAGGCCGGTCGAGGACGTCTCGGCGTGGCCTGAGCGTCGGTAGAGGCCTCATATCAAACTTCCTCCGTGAGCCATCGACCAAGATGAACCCCGCTGGAGCAACCAAGGAAATCGAACAGGGAACGCCCACTGGGATGGCGCACGGACAGACACCGAGTCCCGCCGTTGTTGCAAGCCCTGATTCAGGAATGAAGCCACAACAGCGGCAAGGATCAGGGGCAGCGGTAGCAACTCGGAGTCAATCGCAACTCTCTTCGCCACCACCTACGACATTTCGACGGCGCGTGAGCATAAGCTTGAACCCTAGCAACTTGAAGCGGGCTGTGGGTCTCGGATCCGGCCAAGAGAGCACGAAGAAGAGCGACGCCACCAACAGGAGCCCAGACGAACCCGGGTACGAAGAGGAGTTCGTTGGGGTCTCAGAACAACAAGCGCCGCCCGTGAGAGTCCACCCTCGTCCTCGCGCTGTCGCCAATGCGCAGCGAGAACCCCCAAGCGTCAACCCCACGGCCGCTCGAGCGGCAGTGCCGACGGCCATCGCCAAGGACAATGGTACGACTCCAAGGGAAATCGGAGGTAAAGTCAGCAGCGACAAGGGAGCCGGCGGCGACGGCGGCGGGTTATCGCGAGCGTCCAGCGGACAACCAGCTCTCTCGACGTCAGAAACAGCGACTGCACTGAAGATTGTTCCTTTTCTAGCCTCTACCACGCAGCAGCAGCAATCGGCAAGGCAGCGTCGTTCTGCGCGCCGGTCCGCGAGTTTCAGTCTTGGCGCCGGCGGCGACGCTGCTTCGCTGCGGTTCCTGAACACAGGGAGCTCCTCTGGCAGCGAAGAGAAGATCCCTGCTTTTGGGCAAGAGAATGACGAGAGAGGTCAGCAGAGGGAAGGCGGCGCAAGAGTAAACGACAACGCCTCCACCGAAGCAGCAGCGGGGCACAGGGGGGCATCACCTCCGAGCGGAGGCGGTCGGAGCGGCCGTAGGCACCTACGGGGGCGCTCCATGTCCCTCGCTCGATTGAACCGAGGATCATCACTTGGGCTTTCCCCCCCATCATCCCCTGCGTCATTGAGAGGCAGCCGGAAAGGTAGTCGGTCTCCCACGTCTGGAGTTGGTGTTGGCGTTGGCGATGGCAACGGCGGAGGAGGGTTTCGACAACGCTTGAGGCAAAAAGCGGCAGGGGTCGGGGTAGGGGTAGGCGGCGGGGGCGGCAATGGCTTCGACCGGAGAAGATCGCGATCCATTTCACCCCCCAGAGTCGGTGGCAGTCACTCTCGCACGATCTCGATGGGATCTGAGTTGCTGCCGCTTGGCCCTGTCGGAAGCTGGGCCGGGGTTGGCGGGGGTGGCGGTGGGTTCGGTGGGGAACATTATGCGAGCGAAGGCCTGCCCAGTATTCTCGATGCTATCCCTGGTTGGAAGCGACCCAGGTTGCTCAAGGATTTGCAGGAGCGGTGAGTCGCAGCGCAATGTGTTCTGCTCAACGTTGCAAGTAAAACCACCCATTTGAAGCGCGTGATCCTACCTATATTACGTCGTGTGTTGCGATCCTCGCAGGTTTCCAGACGAACAATCTATACCAGTACTGAAAGCAGATCAACCCACACCGTTTCAAGCAACGCATTCTCGAGCCGCAAGAGGTTGACGGTGAAAAAAGAGCGTTTGTCCACGACTCTTTGATGAGAAAGCCTTGGCTGAATGTAGCTTCCCCCATTGTCGCTTGGCCGAACTAGGGAAACGGAGTACACCTCCGTGGAAGGCGTCGGAGTCTTCATCGGGACGTGGAACGTCAACGCCAAGAAGCCCAACTTCGAAGATCCTGTGAGTGTCACGCACTACTGGGCGAAGAGGCCATCGTGTCTAGCAGCTCTGACAGTTCGGATTCCTGCTCCAAATTTCCTCTCCTAGTCCTCCCTTTCCTACAGGAGCGAAACATGAAGGCCCCTAACATTCCTCCCTCTATCCCTCAGCCCGCAGATCGTTTCTTGTCGCCTCAAGTGTCGAACCTATAGATAGGTGTGCCACCGGTTTCCAACGACGCCGCTAGGAGGGGTAAGACCGACCATCCGATTGACTGGCTCGATCTTTAGGTTCGAGATCCGCCCACGATTCCCAATATTGCATTGGCGCGTGGGGTTTATTGCTGGTCTGACCTCGGTGGATTTCACCTCAAATTTACTCTTTTTCCCGCCTCTCTCGTCCGACGGCCATGATCGTCACAATATCCCACCTCTAAGTTGTGGCTGCATGAGTGGCTTTGCCCCACGGAGAGGCTAGAGGGCAAAGGGCGTAGCAGCGGGGACGCCTCATCGGCACAGCCACCACCAGCAAAGGCTGGGAATGCTGACAGATTTTACGCCGAGACCTTTGCCAGCGAGGAAGGTGACGGAATGGAAGACGTATACGCTATCGGGCTCCAGGAGTTGGTCGACCTCAACGCTGTCAACGTTGCTGTCGACATCAAGAGTCAGGCAAGCGAAGGACATCATTTTGATGAAGAAATAAGCGTCTAGAATGTTTGGCACGTGGAGTCATCAACACACAGCACCGGGCATACGCTGGTGCCGGGCGCTGGTGCGCAATAAATTACTTGTCTCCAGTTGTTCTGTGAAACCCATCCATCGGGTAAACGAGGAAAGGGTTGCTGTTCTGTTCCGGAGACATCCTCATCAGAACGACACCGAGGTTCACCTCGCATGTAAAATCGCCCATAAGTTGCATCGTCGCCCCGAGAACAAACACGGGCAGTGCAACTTCATGACAAGAAGTATATCGATCTCGTGAACGTCCGAGTGTTTTTCGTGTCGCCACGATATCACTCTGCGGGCATTCGAACTCGATCGTTTTTTTTTTTTTATGAGCAGAAGCGAAGTGTAGAGTGGGAAGAGCGTGTGCTCTCCTCGCTCAACCTCGCGGCGCTCCATCAGGCCAACAAGAGAAGAAGGAGGGCGAGCGAAACCCCTTTTGTGCCTCGCTCGTCGGCGACGACCGGGGGAGCGCAAGAAAAGGGTGCTTCCGACGCGGCCACGGAGCCGGCGCCGACGGACGACACGACACAACCGCCCCCCGATTTCCTTTGTGACGACGACGACGACGACGACGACGACGACGACGACGACGACGACGACGACGACGACGACGACGACGTTCTCGGGGTGGTATCGGTCGCGAGTCTCGCGGAAACCGACAACGGTACGCAGCGAGACGAACGTGCAGAAGTCAGCCTATCTCTTTCTCATGCTGCAGCCAGCGGCACGGCTACCAGTCCGAGCGCAACAGAGCGGGCTAATCTCCACCGCGACGAGCCGTCGAAGTCGTACGGACCGGCTAGCCTCGGCGACGCCGGAAGGGTGAGTCACGACGGGACGACGTTCGTGCTGGTGGCCAAGGAACACCTGGTCGGGACCTGGCTGGCGGTGTTCGTGCGGGCATCCATGCTCAAGCAGGTCTCCGACGTGCGCTCGGGTAAGGAAAACATACATGAGTTCGCTAGGCACTCAACCTACCCGTTCGATTCTCAACATGGCGCTGTCACGGCACCGTTAATGCCGCTTGCTTGGAGTGAGTGTGAATCCGTACATAAGTCCAACTTCGTGCCTTTCTCTCTCACTCTTCCCCTCTCTCGGCCTCTACCTCTTCCGCTGTCTCTGTCTGTCTATCTGTCTGTCTGTCTCTGCCTGTGTCTGTATGTGTCCCACGCTCTCTCCCTCTCTATTCGGTTGTCTGTTCTTGCACCCTAAACTAGCGACCGTTTCCGCGGGCATGATGGGCGTGATGGGTAACAAGGGCGGCGTCGGGATCCGCCTGCGCCTGCGTGACAGCTCTCTGTGCTTTGTTTCGAGCCACTTGGCGGCTCATCGGGAAAACATCAAGGCCAGAAACGAAAACTATCAGAAGGTAGGCCGTTGACACTCCTTGCACGAGGTGAAGGTGATTTCCCCAGCACACTATTCAAAGTCGCGAAACCTGTAGCGAGGAGTCTTCTCATCCAGGGCCGTTTGCGATGAAGCGGTTGAGATCACCGCCCCGACTAAAAAAGCTATTTCGCAGTGACGACGGCGACCGTAGGCAACTCCTTGAGATAGGAACTACCCGCAAAGTAGCTGGTTGTTTCCGACTCCCCAAGCGCAATTGGCGTGACGAGGCATATTTCCCGACGCGTTCTTGATGAAGCGCACCCACCGTGCCTTGCCTGTCAACATTGGCTTGCTCTGTCCTGTTGGTAGATTTTGCGAGAAATGGTGTTCCCACCTTTGCCGGGGGAGGGGTGGCGTCGGCCACAGCAGCAACCACAGCGGCGGATGAACAGCTTCCGGGGCGGGGGGTCATCACCCCCGACCTCCCCGGGTACCAGGAGACGCCTGAGCGTGACAACTCGGCTGATGAATCCTTTGGGTGGGGGAGGTGCGGCGGCAACCGTGGGAAAGGGACGAGCGTCGGAGCCGGGACCGGGGTCCTTGAACTACCGGAGGAATTTGAGCGGGGCCGCGCCGTCTCTTTCGGGCATCCGATCCCCACGGCACAAGCCCAACGGCGATTTATCCTTCGCGTCTACTTCGTCGAAGAGAGCGGTTTCTTCTTCCTGCTCTCCGAAGAGAACAGCCGCGCGTGGTGGCGACACCGATGCCTCCTGCGGCTGTCTCTCGCTCCCGACGTCTCCGGACTACACCAAGCAGCGGCAGGCTCGACACCAGCAGAGGGTGCAGAGGGGGCGGGCTGCGAGCTTCTGCCGGGAGTTGTCCCCACTCCAGGACGACGGAAGCCGCGGCCGCCGTGCCAGACCGCGGCGGCGCAGCAGCATGTGCATGTCTTGGTCGGGGGCTTCGTTTACCTCCGTCATGCCATCCGCTTCCTCCTCTTCAGCCGCGTCGTGCTGCCCCCCCCCGCCCCCTGTAAAACAAACCCCGTCCATCGGTCAGCAAGAGCTGCAGTCCTTGCCACCGGCTCTCGCTATCACGGTTGCCCCGGCCCCTTCCATTACGGCCGTCGGCGCCGAGTCTACCTCCAACACGGTAGCCGCCGCCGATCTTGCCGGAGAGCCCCTCGATCGCAATGTCTCAGATGATGACTGGCCGCGTGCTTCGGATGACGGGTCATCGTCGTCAGATTCCGCGGGTAGATCTCCTACGGCTGCAAGTGTCGGGGCCCCGCTGAGTAGCGCGAACAGCGCGGCTGCTATCGCGGCCTTCGAAATGAGGAGACTGAATACGGCGGTTGCGATCGACGACCTCTATGGGAACGCTACTACAGGTGACGGGCAGACAAAGCCTATGGTGGTGGGAGGTCACGAGTTCGCCGGCGGTGCCGGAGGCGATGGCAGTAATGCCGCAAGTCTGTTGCACATGGGAGACGGGATTACCGAAACGCTGGCCTCAGGCGTGTTAGGACGGGGCACGGCGATCCGTGCCGAGGGCGGCTTTGGTGGTGGTGACGGCAGCGCCAGGGCCAGGTCTAATACGGTGTTGGGCGGAGCAGGGCAGGGCGGACCCACGCAGGTGCTCTTCGTCCCGGAAACAACTACGCACAACACTGTCGAGCACTTGGGGATCCAGGTGAGATAGGATAAGTGTGTGGCTGTGCTGGTTGTGATCTTTCCAAAGCTTTGGGAAGCCAGACATCTCCTGGGCGGCACTTTCTCCAAGTAAGGACGAGCGCACAATCTCAGAACCCACCCCCTCACTAGTGAAACGGCGGAGTTCAGGATGAGGAAGGGAGGCGATATCAGGAACGCGAGTGGTAGACGGTTTGGGCAAGAGACACAATAGCTGCCGGCGTAGTCGGCTCAAAGTTTTTCGCGTTCTCTCGACGCGAGACCATGACCGGGTCAGCACCGTTCGCATTCAGGCAAAACGAGACACATCCCCAAGCCCCCCCTTTTCCTGCTCTTGCATGGACTCACTCACTTCCTGTAACGGCTTGCCCACGTTCAGGATCACGACGTTGTCTTCTGGTTTGGAGATCTCAACTACAGGATAGAGTCATCCATCGCTGCGCTGGAGGTGCTGGCTCACGCCGTATCAGGTGGGGTGTCCTTCCTCGCCGCCAACGATCAGCTCAACAGCGCCCGGGAGGCGGGCGACACCTTTAGGGGTTTCCACGAGGGTAAGGAAATTATTTCCGTTGGAGCGTAATTGGTCGACGTCTCGCGATTTTGTTGGTTTTCCCGCGCTACATTGGTGTGTATGGTACAATGTGCCGGGCTTTTGCACCAGGGGAGATGGAAAGAATTCCGGTACAATGAGAACAGGAGGATACAACGTGTTGTTGTTCATCGCCAGGATGTTTTCAGTTTTGTTGTACAGATCCGCCTGTCCGATGCATGTAGCCCTCCGTACGCAACCTTCGTTTCACCTGGGGTTTGAACGAAAGATGCGCCCTCGACCCCAGGAAAATTGTCCCAAAGTTGTTGAAAACGTTTTCAACGGCGTCACTTTTTGTCGTTTAGGCTATTCGGGCTGTCACTGCTCAACACAGCAGGGTCGATAGCCAACATTTTGGCCTGAATATACTGTGTGCGGTTCCCAAGCGAAATTCAAGCCTTCCCTTCAAGAAGCTCTTTAACCTTCCCGTGGCCGCATACGCGCGCGTCCTGTCGTCTGGTGTGTCCTGTACATGTCCAGCGCCGATTGACTTCCCGCCGACGTACAAGTACGCCGCGGGCACCGACGACTACGACACGCGAAACGATAAGAAGGTTCGTGACAGACAAAATCACACAGGACCATGTATGAACCCAGGGTTGGGCTAGGTATTCGTATGCTCGTCAATGTAGTGGTGGAGCATCTGATCAACCGGACCATTGTGATTGGGTAGTCCGTGACCGTCGCAGTGCATCCACCGTGACGGTATAGGGAAACTCGCACATGCCTTCAGTGTGACTGCTGCTGAATAGTTTCACTTTCGATGACGTTCTTACGACGATCACATGGCTCTGTTTTCTCGGTTCCCTGTTCTTTCAGGGGATCAATTCCGTTTGTAGCCGTATCCTGCAGCATTCAGTGTTGTGTTCGGCCAGGCACCATTTTTGCTTTCCCGCTACGTGTCTTTCGTTTACCCGGCTAGAGACCATGGAAGAAAATTTGAGATGGTGCGGCATGTTTGCACACTCTCGTGAAAAGCCACGCGAGGTCGGTGTGTCAGATTTCTGGTGTCCACCCGCATCAGGGTGAAAATTACCTAGAGAGATGCTTGGAGTTCGAGGTTGACAGGTGATGCATCGCAAAATCATCTCACAGACACGCTGCTCGGTCTACGCGTTATAACGAGTTCGAGGTAGTCAGTCTCCCGTCATCTACGTGAAGGTGAAACGTAATTGTTTCCGTTGATGTTGTCGTTTTTCCGCACAGTTTCGCGCGCCCGCGTGGTGCGACAGAATTCTGTTCTGGACCTCTGGCGGTGATAACGGGAGAGGCTCAACCGCGCCGGAGGACGTGAAAACAGCGACAGCAGGATCCGTCCGGCAGCATGCCTACAGGCGATCGGAGACGCCGCTGACTTCTGACCACAAGCCCGTCTCGGCTTCTTTTTGGTTCGGGTGCAAACAGGCACGTGTGGCAATTTTCTTTGGCGTCAACGTTCTCGTTGTTGTGAACTTTGTTTCTGGTTTCATTGTTCAGCGGCACAGACTCTGGTAAGAGTCAGGGCGCGCGGAAGGAACACATCAGCAAATTGTGTGACACCCTACCTGCTGTGTGAAACTCCCAGCGGACATAAACGGGCGAGTTCTAGAATAACCCAGGTGGTACCGATACACACTGGTCCCTGAAAACGCACATCCAGAACCAGAATAATTCCGCGTACGGGATTCAAGAGATGAAGAAAAATGAGCCCCATCGGTGAGGGTGTGTCAAGTCTACCAGCCCTTCGAAAGAGCAACTTGAGACCTTGATATTCGGCTGTACCGAGCGGGTTAGGAAGTGTTTCTTGTCCGGCTGCTGTCCGTGCCCATCGACACTTTCTAATCCAGTGCTTCCATGCTGGGAAAATGTGTTCTCTTGAACAGGCCGTACTAACCTTGGGAGTTAGTTGCATTTTTTCATGGGCAACCCCCGTCCCAACTCGCTGGTCCGTCTGGTGTGTGCTGTCACCGTGCTGCTAAATCAATCGCTCAAGGTTGACTCAAACATCTATTCCAAGGTTCTCCTGGATGTTGTGAAGAAGGTGACAAGAGCAGCCGGGGACGTGAAACCACAGGTGAAGTGAACTTTTTCGGTTATTTCTCCTGCCCAGTGCGTTTTCTACCGTGGTTGGTGAGTGACGATCGGGGACGCTCGCTCGGGCCGCATTCTTCACCGCTTTGAGAGCGACAAAGCATGTGTGCAGGTGTCAAACGGCGAGGAGGGTACCTTCTTGGTTGACGATAGTCGTTGCTGTTGGCGTCCCGTGGGGCCGTGTGCGCGGCCAGATAAATAGGGCATGGAGCACACGGTTTATTTTGCAGAGGTTTTCGTCGGCGTCAGTCTTTAGTCTATCTCTTCGATTTGTGACTCAAATGTCATATGCTTGCGGCATACCTTATTTGTTGTATCGGGAGCTTCTCTCCTCACATAACGTCCCGCATTTCTTCTTCGAGGAGGCGTTTGCTTACCAATCAGGCGGTATCCAGGTGGACAGCATACACGGGGATGGTGGCGAAAGGCTAATGTCTAATGTGTGCATGTCCCGTTTCGAAACTGTTGCCGTAACGTCTTACACAGGTTGATATTGTCGAGGGAGGAAACGCCATGGACTTCGGAGATGTTCAGTACGGGGTGCCGCAAAGCCGCTCCGTGTGGATTGCTAACACTGGAAGGTAAGAGTCCGTGTGCATGCACAGTGTTCGCTATGTTGAGGAATATAGTTTTCTTTGTCAAGGGAAGAAGCACGGCCTTGCGTTTGTTCGTCACACCAGTCAGCAAATGAGGTCTGGGAATCGGATGATCCACACCAACAGCCTTTCACATCGCCAGAATGCTCTACTACCTTGCGGGTTGTTTCACGAGCTCATCAATTGACCAAGAATTATTTTTTCTCACCCCTTTCCTGTCCCCCCACCCTCCGCTGACGACAGAGTCCCCGCAACCTTTAGCGTGCATTCCTCCCAGCACCCCGCCCGGAAGAGTTCGAGCCCTGACCGGCCGAGATCCCCCCTCGGCAGCGACAAGCTACGCAACCTGGAAGCAAAAGAAGACCAGAACGCGTCGGACACGGAAGAAGGCAAGGGTAACGACGACTTGTTCGGCCCGGCGTCGTCCTGCTCAGCAAACGAAACCGGAGAGGGAAGAGGGGGAGCGGCAAGAGGAGGGAGAAAGCAGGATGACAACCGCGGTGGCAAGGAAATCCTATCGGATGAGGGTGGAAAGGAGCAGGAGGAGGTGGGCGAGGGAGCTTTCTCTTCCGCAAGACGGGGCGGAGGCGAGGCGACGCCGGCCCCAGCGGCAGTGGAGGACACTAGCAAGTGGTGCTCGGTTTCCCCGGAACAAGGCGTCTTGCTTCCGGGAGAGAGGCTCGAAGTAAAGTTCACGCTACTGGTGAGCACAGCTGATTCAAATGTTGGCAGATGGTCCGCGCGAGAAGTAAGCGTCTAAATATCTGTAGCAATCATCGCGACACGTGAAAAGAGGGAATCGTCCTCGACAATCGTTGGGAGATGGTAGCCTTCATGAAGGTGATCTCCACAGTATCGTAAAAATGGTCGCCGGCATAGCCTGGGGAGATGGAGGGGTCGGACATAGGGGCGAGCTATGTAGACGACACCGCTCTCACGGATAGATATTGCTTATAGAGAGCATCGATACGTTTGAAATATGGTCGTTTGTGCTGGCGTCGTGGCTCGCTCTGCACCCCTTGGGCAGGTCCACGGCTTGGCCGGCCGCGCCTTGGCCACCGGACGGATGTCCAGCATCCTTGACGACATCCACGTTCTCAGAATTGAGCGAGGCAGTGACAGGTAAGCGTACCCGACAACGTCCAGCAGGCAGAAACACGCCAATTAGGAGCTGTGGGCTGCAGGTACACGGGTGTGTTGAGTCCGTCGGCTGGGTGAAGTGCCGACTCGTAATTCTCTGCTGCCGCCTTGTGTGGAATTTTCAATAAGCGCGCCTTTCTCTTGACAAATATGCCCGAAAGTCTACGTCTGTCCTTTTCTCTCAAATTGACCGTGTATGCCACCGCAGCCTAGCACAGCCCGTAGATGTTGACTAAGTTTGTGATGTTTAAGCTCTCTTTCACCAGCGCAAGAAGCAAGATATTATATTTCACAGCGGTCTCGTCTTCAGGTATATCGCTGTGAGCGGGAACTACGAGGCGTCCGTCTACGGAAGTACCCTCCCGGCCATGATGACCTCCAAACCAATCTCAGCGACGCTGAACAATTCAACCGACGCCGCACGCAACGTAGCGCGCGGGGACGGGCTTTACGAGGGCCGCCGCATAGGAGCGGGGGGCGACGAGGGTGCACGGCGGCACGAGGGGACGGCAGCGGGGGACGGTAGTGGTGCCGTCACGGTTCCTCTGGTGGATGCTGACGCAGGCAGAGGAGACGGAGCGGGACCTCGAATGTCCTCCGGGCAGGTAGGTGTGGAGCGAAGTATGGTTTTGAGCCCCTTGCAGTGAACTGCTGTTGTGACCACCTGAAAGTTGCGCAGGTTGGCGAAACGTGTCAATCAATTACATTGTGCGTCACTTTCAGGGCAATGTCTCCTTGGAAGAACTCTATTACGCCGTGGAACAAGGAAGGCTACCATATTCTTGAGGCCGATTGGGAGGTGTGTTGGATATCAGTTTGGACGTTTGTGACCCGATGGTTCAATGAAAGCACGGAAAGGTGACGAACACCTATTTGGAGACGACTACGTCCATGAGCTGGGGGTTGTTGTAGTCTTGGTCCTCGTCTTTTTCTAATGCACCGTCTTCCTTGGTTCAGGGTATTGTCGGGCATAAGTGTTGGGCTTGGCGAGGTCTCATGCCGCGGCCGGAGGACGTCGCCGGTAGTGGCTCTCAAGAATTGAGATTTTGATGGATCCGAATTTCTTGGAGCTTCGAGAGCGAGGCAGACAAGTTATCGCATTTTCCGCAAAGCCACCAATGTGACTGACCGTTTCCCGATGGAGTTGCGCTAGATGTGATGAGTTAAGATCTGTCCCGCGGTATTGATCTACGGCAAGGGTTAGGGTTAGGCTACAATATGTACTTGAACAATTGTGCGCGAAACCAATGACAATTTCATGGAACATAGCATCGCCTCTTCTTACAGCTACCAACTTGCATCGGAACCTAGCTTGAGGCCCTAGCGGCAGCGCCAATCGATCCCACGCCAAGGGAAGATATCAAGATCGTAGCGAGAATTATCCCCGAGCACCATGTGCTCCTTTTCCCCACCAGGTCAGACGTTGCGGTGCCATGTTTCGCTTGCCGTCTCGCAGAAGACAGTACGGATTCCACGCCAGGTTTGGAGGATGGTGGACGCTCTGTTGAAAGATTCTCACTGTGATCAACCCGGGTTATTTGTGGACAACGGCAACGAGCAAGATATTCTGGGAATCCGAGCCGCGGTGAACACCGGGGCTGAGTTCCCACCACATTGCGCGAGCTCTATGGTCGAGGCAAGTTTACATACAGTAGTTCAGCAAAACATTTCAAGAGGGATTTCATATTCCCGCGTACTTCTACAGCAGGCTCTTGCCAATGACGTCGAGAGCCACCACGTGGACGATGAAGTGCCCCAAGACGACGGCGTCGGTCGGTTGTTGATCGAAAGGAGCAATTTCCCCGAAATCGAACCAAGGTCTGGGTGGAACGCCGCACAAAATGCTTTGCATGCTTGAGGTTCCCGCCATTGGCTCTACCCGCCCCGTATTGCTGCCGCATCACACCCGAACAGGCGTTGGTAACCCTGCTGGGGAGTCTTTCGTCTTCGGTCATCCCCGAAAGCGCGTGCGCGGCCGTCTCGCAGGCAGTGGCAGACCTCCATGTCGAAGAGAGAGCAAGCGCGTTGATGGGCGCTATGCCGACGTTGCACCGAAACGTCTTCGAGTACCTCAGCAGGTGTGCTGATAGTCGACTGTTTCGATGAACCTGAACGCCCATGGGTTTTACCTGGCTTTCAGCATACAGACTGTCGGCGTTGCCCTCGCCCGAGTGCTGGCGTACTTTTGAGGTCGCGGTTTGCAGCAGTCGGTGTCAGAAAGAGATATATATTTGATGTTCAGAGAGTATTCTCATGCCTTCCACAGACAGACTTGCTTGTGCTGCAAAAACAACGCGGAGTTCTCTTGGAGTCCACGTCGTTGTCTGCGCCTACAATCGACTTCTGTGTCGTGTTCTGTCGGCTGATATCACCAAGCCGCCAGTCAAAGCACGATCCACCAAACCTATTTCTCGCCCCCCCCACCTCAAGCTCGCTGACCTCCGTTCTTGCTCGTATGTCGCAGCTTTTTCAAGTTCTTGCTAGCGCGTGGCGACAACAATGGACTCACCGCGGAGGAAATAGTCTCGGTACAACGCTCCTGTCTGTTGCCTGACGCATGGCGCCCAGCACGCCTTAGGGGCTTTAGGAGCGCGAGAACACCGCCACTAGACGGGCGTCATTCTCAAGAGTCGATGGGCAAGGAGGATGAGGGTGGGGATAGGGGAGTTCGGGGGCAACACCCGACCAGCAACCGAGATGATTGCCAGCACCACAACGCGAAGGCAAAGGGCGGGAAGCATCCGGAGATAGGGGCGGCACAGGACAGGAAAGGAAACTCTTGTAGCGTTAGTGGCGTCAGCGGACGAGACACTATTACTAGAGGCGAATTCGATGTGCTAGGTCCCGTGCTGTATCATATTCTGACGGGCGAGCGTTGAGTCGGGTCTGCGCACGTTCTTGTCCAGTAGAGTAGACATGGAAGCCCGCGGGAGGACAAAATTATGTCTCAGGTGTATTTTTACAGGTAGACAACGATGTGTCTTCTGCGGCCGTTCACGGGATCAGCCTGCATGGGGAATTCCCGAGAATCGTGTTCTTTCCATGTCCACTTTAGTCTAGACCGGTTTCATGTATGAATCTCCGGCCCCCGTGATGGCGTCACCTATGGCTCGTAGTAATAGCAGGGCAAAGCCAACATCAGTACGCAAAGGTTGAATACCTAAGCACGAAAATGTAGCCAGTCCTCAGCTTGAGAGGGTCACTATCGCGGTCGGCGTCGAGCGTGTCACTTGTAGCAATATTGCCCAGTTCACTATGACGGTCTCCCCACTTCGCAGTGCGCTCTGTCTCCCCTCCCACCTCTCGGCATGTCCCACATGTGATGCTATTTTTGCCTCTACTGAAGCATAGCGCAGACTGAGCACGAGCGGTGTTTATGGTTTAGTGTTGAATTCACGTACACTACTGTTTCTGTCCTCTACTTTGTACCCTCTCCGCCGTCTTGAAGGAACGAATAGGAGTTTCCTCTCCAGGCATACATCCAAGGAAACTCCCACCGCTTTCGGATTCCTCACGCTCTGTAGCAAGTCCACACAGACCCGAAGCAAGTGGGACGAGAGTACGGTTAGCAACCAGCTCCTTGGGGCTATTCAGATGGATAACCGGTCAGCACGTACTTGCCCCGACAATAATTGGCACTCCCCACCTCCTAGCCCCCCAGTGTTTACCATCGGGGTTGGGGTTTCGTCGCTTGGCAACGACGTTGTAATACAAGCCCCCCCGGTGTTTGCCATCGGGATTGGATTTTCGTCGCTTGGCAACGACGTTGTAAAACATGCCAATTCACTTCGTGAGCTCGGCAACCAGGTTACCGTTTTTTTTACCTCTGTTTTTTTTTTGGCGGTAACCATGAATGGTGGTCGAGTGGATCATGTTTTGCGGGGTGGAGAAGCCTAACTCCGTGCTAGGGGGATGATCGCACCACGTTGTGCAAAAATGGTCAAGCACCCTCGAGGCAGTTACCCAGTGCTTATAGCTGGCTCTGGAAGTGAAAGCACCAGAAAATAAATCAAGTCATACGCAGCTGTCATCCGTATGCAAGTAGGTGAAAGCAAGATGCCGAACACCGAACACCCTTTGCAGGATGCAGCGCACCCTTCATGCGACTCGCCGAATATCTCACGGCGCTTCGCGCTTGGTGATGTGAGAGCCTGGTCCGGTGAGAACCCGGCGTGCTCCGTCCCGGCTTTGTAGGGATGCGAGGTCAATGGTCGAACGACTACGGCATGCACGAGTACAGCCCCCCACCTGCAAGCTCGACTGTTCATCGCAACTCTTACTATTGTTCCTCGAAAATGTTCTGGACAGTTGTCTTCCCTCAGATACTGCTGAAAGAATATGAGGGCGAAAGGCAAAACCATTTGTCGGTTGTGAGGCCATCATTGGGTTTTCATCTCGCCAATCTTGCAACAGCGGCGGAGAGAGCCTACCGCTACAACACCTATAGTCCCCATTTCTCGCTTATATCGAGGAAATGGTCTAATTTTCGTAACAAATACAACGCTATCCCTAAACATGATCTAATCCCAACGATCAAACCCGCCGGTGGAATATCGAGTTATTTCTACATAGTTTTCGGGAAAAACAACGCCCCATGCCTAACGAGGAGAAAAAACTGGTGACACGCTCCCGTCCGCCTGAACACATTTCCAGTGATGTCCGCAAAAAGAACACCCGTCGGCATACGAATATCACAGCTTAAAACTCCGTTTCTACCTGGACCATATGCTGATGAGGACGTTGCGGGAGCTATATACCCTGGTTGGGGCACTGGCGCTAGAAATACTAACGTCAACCAACACCTTTGTAGCTCACTTCCAATCCGCTCCCCCTTGATTGTTGCTACCGAGCAAGGTTGTCAAGGGTCACCCCGTGGAGGGAACGTCATACCGGTCTTGCTACAGTTTCACGAATCCTACGTGATTTGGCGTCCGATACTTGCAACGTCGACAAGACCAGAAACAATGAGATCACCTTCGCGCGATTCAATCGATATATAGGTCTACCTCTGGCGGCACAGAGCCAACGACTACCCCTCTAAGGAACACACAACAAGGTGCATTCTGCAACGTAAAACTCTGGTAAAACATACACATGCGAGAGACACAGCGGAGGGCGTTCAGCGGTGGCCGTCGGTGGCGCCGTAAGTGATTTGGCGCCCAAAACTTGCGAAGTCGACAAGGCCATAAACAATGAGATCTCCTTCGCACGATTCAATCTACATATATTTCCACCTCTTGCGGAACAGAGCCAACGACTATCCCTCCCAGGAACATGCAACATGGTGCGTTCTGCAACCGAAACGTCTGTAAACACACGTACATGCGAGAGCCACATGCGAGAGCCACAGCGGAGGGCTTTCAGCGGTGGCCGTCGGTGGCGCCGTATGTGATTTGGTGCTCAAATCTTGCAATGTCGACAAGACCAGAAGCATAACGACACTTTCGAACGATTCAGTCGATAACAACTCTAACGCTTCCGGGACAGAGCCCACGACTACCCCTCCCAGGAACATGCAACATGGTTCATTCTGCAAACTTCTGTTGACACACACGCATACGGGTGGTACAACGAAGGGTTTTCAACGGTGACCTTCGGCGGCGTCGGCCTGGCGTTTGGCCTCCATGAGGTCGCTTGGACACGATGGATTTGGTGTCGAAAGAGGGTACGCAGCGCCGCGCGCGGCGTGGGGACAGCGTTCGTCGGCATCGGAGGTGGGGGTGTTTTTGTCAAGGTTTGCCTCGGTCGGGGTGAATACGGTTGGGAGTTTCAATGTTACAGCAGTGGTACACGAGTTCCGCTTCAAGCCGAACGAAGTGAGCCGTTCGGTCGATGTTCTAGGGAAGGGGAACAGCTAGATGAAGAGGTAGGTGCACGATGGCGTAATAAGTCACTTTGGATAGCAGCATATGACAAGGCAGAGGCGTTTCGAGCAACCTATTCCTTTATGGGCACCTTGATATTGGAGATAACTGTTCGACGAAGAGTTGAGCAAGCGAAGCATTCCGTTTGTCGTTCAATGTCACAAATATCGCCACTTCATCATGCATGGGAATGAACAGGTCGACAAAATGAAGTCTTGCTTCCATTCTATCGAATGTCGTCTATGGAATTCCCACTTTCATTCTCCCATGACCAAAAAGAAAACTCGATAAAATCCAACTCTTCACATACAGAGAGGACGAACACACGCACAACGTTTCGCCTCAAAAGAACGAGAAGTTTAGGCTTCTTGCCCTACATAGCAGCAAGGTCAATCGAGAAGGGCTTAGAAAATGCTCCTAAGCATTGAGCACCCTGAAACGAAGCCAGCACACAAGAACCTACAGAAGCAGCAACACTATGAAGTATTTCCAAGAGTATCCAATCTGCTCCACTCAGCCTTCGTTCTCACCGCGCGAGGCTGACGACTTCATCGACGTTCGGTTCGTACCAAGAGTCACAAGGGTCGTCCCCTCGGTCGCTTCCGGTGTGTCTGGCGTAAATGTGCTGTAGCTGCCATCAAAGGCAAGGACAGTGAAGAGTTTTGGGCCGGGCTGAGTATAGTTCAGTTACCACTGCGTTCTCTCGCAATGAGCCGCCCTTCGAGTCGCAACAACAAGCGCAGCCAGACTCGATTTTCCAGTGCTCAATACCCAAACAATCCACCGCCTCCTTTTTTCCACACTCTTTACGCCACACCCGAAGCTCGCGCGAAGGAACGTTTTCGATTTCCGACGAGTGTTGTCGCAAGCCATTTTTGTGGTGCTCTTGCAATGAGAGCCAGGAGAACTACACAGGCATGTTCCGGCACTTTGCACGACGCGTACCACCAAAGGTGACAGAGATCAACGCCGTAGCACGTCTTTGTGGTACAAGTATCGCATTAAAACCAGTTGCAAAGAAAGTGACACTATTTCGTGTGAGGAGCAATCACGATTCAATGGCAACATGCAACCATAAAGTATGGAATCGCTGAATCGAACGCAACCTGAAATACGTATAATTTGTAGATCTCGGTCGTTTGAAGCCAAGCTTTGTCTTTGGGGGGGG